ATGGAAGCTTCGATCGCTTTCAAATGTCAGAAATTGCTCTCAAGTGTCTTACCCTCGAGCAGTTATGGGATATATTTTCAAAATGTTGATACATATTTCACTCGCATTCCACTAAGCGATTAAAAAGCTCTTAAAGGAAAATATCTAATAGGACTAATATTGGTGCAAATTCCGATCATTCCGATAGGAAGATAAAAAATGGATCGCCTGACATCCAATTTTGTTTTTGTCATTCTGTTTGTAACACTTCGATATCTGGTTCCGATTTAGCCACGTCCGTACGTTCGTCCGTCTGTCTGCTGAAAACAGACCAAACGGGACGTGTTAGATAGCTGAATTTTTGTACAGATATTTTTAATTGATCGGTCCACAAATTCACCTAGCCCCCATATAAAGTCCTCTTCAGAAAATTACTATAATGCAGATAACTGGCTTAAAAAAGCATTTATACCAATGTCAAATTTTATGAGGTTCCCCCCTTATAACGCCCCCTCAAAAAATTAATTTAACTTTCATAACTTCCTTCAAACTGCCAGTAAAGCAAGAAAAATCGTCATAAACATGTTTTATCGGAACTTAAATCATTCTGTCAAATTTTAAAGGATCAGTCTATAATTGACCTTACCCCCATATAAGGTCCCCATCAGAGACTGACTATAACGCTCATACTTGTTTCAAAATGTCAGCTTAGCAACGAAACTCTACATAAATAAGTTTTATGGGAACTAAAATGTTAATTTTGTACTATAGGACCACTTTCCAAAATTCACTTGAAATATGTATGTAAATATGTATATGGCATATGATTTGATGGCGAATATAACACTCTTACTTGTTATAACCACCATCAAAAAAGATGGGGGCATATTGATTTTATCATTCCGTTTGTAACACATAGAAATATTGGCCATAGACCCATAAAAGTATATATATTCTTGTGCCTTATTAAATTCTAAGACGATCTAGCCATGTCCGTCCGTTTATCTGTCTATTGAAAGCACGATAGAGTCCGAAAGGAATGATCTAGAGCAGCGGTTCCCACCGGTTTTTACTTCGCGGACCCCTTGAGGAACTTATTTAATTTTCGCGGACCTCCATACATATTTTGATATCTTATTGTTCTAAATAATTGTTCGTCCGAAAATTGACCTAGTCCATAAATCTCTAGGTCAAATAAATGTAGAGATGTCATATCTATAAAATATTCCCGATAGGTTTTTAATTGCATGGTTTTGAAGATAGAAAGACTTCTTTGTTGAAATGTTAACATGATGTTTAATTTTATGATCGTGAGATCTTTCATGTTCATTTTCTTCAAGGTAACAAAAAGGTTTCTTTATCAAATATTGTCGGCATGTGCTTAAGGAGTCACGTTTCAAAAATTTATTGCGATTGCAGAGGGGTAAAGTGAGCTAAGTTTTCGGGAAAATAATATAAGAAAGTTGGACTTCATCCATGTTGTTGTGGAATGCATTATCCGCATAATATATGACATGAACACTTTTACTGCATGGTTTTGCCTACATATTTACGCGAAACGCTATGGATTTTCTGATGTTAATTTAATAATATTGGTCGATAAAATCAAGTTAAAATCTTTGTATCACGTCGGAAGGAAATATTTATATTTAAAATTAACTAAATTAACGTATTGAAGGTGCATAAAGAGTCAGCTCAGTTTTTGAAATATATAATTTTAGTCCTTACAAACAAGAACAATTTTGCTTACAATTTGACAAACTTAAATATGGTATAAGCTTGTCTTTGAATTATGAAATGTGATCTAACTTCATAGTCCGGAATACCAGTATCCCTTATTAATTGTAAGACAGATCATTATCCGTCTGAAATAAAAACATTGTTTCACTACATATACAGGAAATAAAAATTACATATCAGGCAATATCTTACTCTATATACAATATAGAGTAAGATATTGCCTGATACAATAAATTTGTAGGGCCTAGCTTCTTCCTGATAAACAACCGAAAAAATAAAATTCAAAAAGTTACCAAAAAATCTGGGATTATTACATAAAAGCAGAATATTGTTTGTCTTCGCGGACCCCCTAGGATTTTACTACGGACCACTAGGGGTCCACGGACCCCCATTTGGGAACCGTTGATCTAGAGGGTTGAAATTTTCCACAAATATTCTCTATAGGGTTTGTTTGGTATTGAAAACAGCTTTAACAAGCACATCTGAGCCAAAATTTCCCTACCAAATTTTATGAGGATCGGTCCATATGGTCTCCTTCAGAAAATGACTTTAACGATAATTACTGTCTTAAAAATACGAGTACAGCGGTGAAATTCGACACACATAAGCTCCATGCGATCTAAAATCTATCTGTCAAATTTTATGTGGATCGGTCCATGAGCGAAATCCTCTCTACCAAATTTTATGTGGATCGTTTCATAATTGACCCTACCCCCCTTCAGATAATTACTTTAAGGCTCATTGCTGGTTACGAGTTAAAATCTCTCTACCAAATTTGTTGAGGATCGGTCCATAATTTATCCTTCCCGCGTATAGGGTCCTCTTCAGAAAATTACTTTAGCGATCATTGTTGACTTAAAATTACGTGTACAGTTATGAAATTTGATATAAGAAACTTTTATAGGAACCGAATTTCATGCGGAAAGTGTAGGGAAGTCGAGAAGTAAACATATTTCATATAAACCAAAATCGGTCTAAAAAAATTTATAAACCATTTTATGAAAAACGGTCAATAATTAACCCTACCCCTCATATAAGATGCTCTTCAGTTAATTTGATGAGTAATGTTTATAGGGGAGCATTACTTTTACCGCATATCGTTCGATGGTGGGTATTTAAGATTCGGCGTAGCGGAATATAAACTCTTACTTGTTATATTTAAATTATTGTCAACGCTAAGTGGCGGCAAGAATTTACAACAAAATTTTAAGTTGTCAATTAAGAGACTTTCATGAATGTACTTAAAATGTTTGTTCTTAAAATCTCTGTTATGTAAAATTTTAATTCCTACATATTATACCCATTATCTATCACTAAATTTCTAAACATACATTCTTATTGTAAGAAATATTCATGACATGGGTTTATTTACTGAAAAGCGAAACCATTTAATTGTTTAAATCCTTTGATGTGAAGAGAAAATATTTGTATATTATGATTGTGGGGCTGTCTGAGAATTTTTAAGATAACTCATTAAAGAATATTTAGATTACATATTTGTGGTTTTAAGCCTTTAAGCAATGTCCTAATTATACATACTACACAAAAAAATTGTAGTGGTTTAAATTAAATACTTGAAAAGAAACACAGAAAATTGTAATTTTTAGATTAAATAAACAACATAAAATTTTTCACCAAAATAATCTTATACTGACAGCTTGACATTTGAATTACATATGTATGTATTTATGAAAACATACATACAACTGTATCCATGTATGTAACAATTTGTATTTGTATTTTAATTGTTTAAAACTTTTTTTCCTTTTAATACGTTTTTTACATTTGAAAATTTCTATCTTTGTTTTAAAAAACGTATTATTATCCTTTAGCTCGTAGACATGAAAATTATTATGCAGCCTGCGTTTATGAGTATTTTTTTTAATATGTGTGCATGTATTTATGGAAATGTGTTTGTATGTATGCAAATATAAGCTAAAACATACATACATATAGATTTGAATTATTTATGACATTTATTTACATAAAGATTATCTCTTAACCAACATTGCAACGATATAAAATATTTAGGTTAAATATCGTTTGAACTAGCTCGCATTCATTTAGATAGACATGGACTTTTAGACGAATTAAATGCAATAAAATATTTATTTAGTTATTGAAGTTTATAAAAAGCATTTAAATAAATAAATAAAAATGCTTTAAAGAGTTTGTACAGAACGGTTAAAATAAAAATTGTTTATTTTTCATAATTGTGTACTATGATTTTTAAATAAATTCCGTAATGCCAAAGGCGAACTATTTAGTATTGAAATGAAATCAAAAGAAATTTGATTAGATGTGAAGTGGATTTGTAATTATAACCTGCACCTCTTAAGTGGTTTAAAACATGATAATGAATCGTACTTACAAAACAACTTACTTTTCAATGACTACTACTTATTGTCAGCATTACTTTTTAAGTACTCTACTAATAACTTAAATATAATTATATAAGTAAGGGAATTATTTTAGGTTTAAGGGGCTTAGGTTAGTATTCTGTGTGAGTATTTCTTTGTGCGTAAAACAAAACAACTTTTTAACTCTCTGTTTTAAAGTACTTATTTAAGTAGTTATTGATCAGTGACCGTGGTAGGGAATTTACATTCAATGTAATCACGTGTTAAGACCAATCTATCGACCTTATAATAAAAATAAATGCAAAAGGTTTATTAAATAATACAAATATCTGATTATTTATCTAATCATAATACATAATTCCAATACTAATCCACAAATATTTATACTTGTCTAATTATAGGCCACAACAATAACATGGGCTGTTCCTATGAAGCAGCCAAACATACAAATCGAATAAATGAAACATCAACAACAAAAACAATAGCCACAAGCTATAGAACAAAAAATTGTAACATCAAAACGGGAAAGCAACTCCTGCAACATAACACATACAGTAGTAGTAAATTGAATCAATACTTTACAAAGAATCACACTAACGAGGACTGCCAACTTGTACGAGTACAACAAAAACAACAACAAAAGCTACCAACTACTAATACTACAATAACAACTAAAGCCAATAAGACTTTTTCTTCAACTGCAACAGTTAGTAAAATTTACAACAATAGCAAAATTGAGGACTACAACAAGAACTGCAAGAAAGAAGAAAATAAAAACAAAAGTAACTTTTATAGTTTAGAAACGAAAGAATACATAAACCGGAGCAATTACAAAGTTCCGCAAGAAACGCTCAATTTCGAAAAAGCGGAAGACAACACTGTTCTAGGCCTACAAAAATCTTGCATCAATTGTTATCCTCTTGCCTGCCACAATAGATTTTGCTGTGAGCAGCAACAACCAGAACTAGCTGGCGACGAAATTGCAAATCATACAAGACAAAGTCCAAAGCCCTTAAATTATATCAACGCCAACAACTACAGCAAGAACAACAACAGTAGCAGCAACAAGAACTGCAACACTTGTTCCAGTAGAAGCAACTGTAGCAACAATAATTACTGCCGCTGTCATTTATCTTTTTTCTATCCAAAACACACAGAAAACACGTTACGCAATGGACAACAATGCGAAACACATTTGTGTAACTGCAACTGTGTTGCCACTCAAACCAATGACTTTGCCACATTTGCTAACACACGCAGTGCAACCGGCCATTGTTTGCAAAAGACAATTTCACATGCCAGAACCGCCTTAGCATCGAATGCCCTCGATTTAAAAAACAATTTAATGGAGGTGATGGCCAATTGTGCAACAGTGGCAGAGTCTTTGATGGGCATTAATACACTGTTTATAAAAAATTGCCTAAACGATGGCATCGTCAGCAACCGGGAGAGTAGCTGTAACAACGGCATCATCAATACAAACAGCAGCAGCAAGAACAACAACCATAATAAGTCTGAACCATATAGAGGCTATTGTCAGCGAAAGCATCATTTACTAAATAAATCCAATTACACCAACACCACCTCATCATCTTACACTATTTCTACAACTTCGCCCTCAACTACTACTAGTACTACTGGTACTAATTCCTCTTCTACTTCTATTTCCAATTCATGCTCCCTCCACGATGCCATTAGCTCAAACAGTCGATGTAATAACAATAACCATGATATGAATATGAACATTAACATGAATAACACTAGCAATACTAGTAGTAGTTGTAGCAATAACAACAATAGGAAAGGTTTTAATAAAACTTGCAGTAGCAGCAACAACAACCACAACTACAATTGTCAGGCATCTTCTTCTGCTCATACGGCTGCCTTCAATTATATTGGTCAAAATTATTATAGTTTTCTACGCAACACGATCAATTTCTATACCGCCTCCAGTGTTATTCTGGTTTTATGTTATTTGACATCAACCACATCCGCTGCAACCACCAAATCAGACACCACATCCGTAGATAAACATCCCATGTAAGTTGTTGTTGCACTTGTTTTTTTTTCTTCACACCTCGCATCTATCAATCACACTTGAGACTCGATCATTTTGCAAACCAATAATCGAATCTGAAAAACAAACATATTTACATAATTAATTAACCGCAACGTAAGATTTAATTACATATTAATTTTTTTAATATGTAATTTAATTTATTACTTTCAATTTATTTTAATAAAAGTTCAATTTCAAGCATGATTAATGTAACTTTCCTTCTAGTCTCCTTTTTGAATTTAGTTTATTCAAATCTCTTCCCGTTTATATTTATATATTTTTTTATCATTTTAAGAGCACTTTTAGCAATACAATTTAATGTTATATTAAGTTTAATTATTATTTTTTTTATCCATCCTACACTATTTAAAAATTGTATTTTTTTATATTTTTTTAAATCAATTTCAGTAAAGGCATCGATTGGTCGAAGTAAGTGCACACTCTTCAAATTATTTCTAAATTTTCAATCCATTTAATTTTAGTTTTTTTTTTGTGATTGGCTGTAAATTTAAATGCATGTCGTTTTATTTATTTCCTTTTATTCTTTGTTGTTTATTTTTCTTTTCCAAATACATTTTCAATTTAAGAGTGAAAGCAGACCGATGTTTTTCTAATGGTCATATTTGTACATAATATTTAAATCTTTTTCTGAAAATAATAAAAATGGAAAGTTCTGAATTTGTCATTCAAATATAAAAATGAACTCTTTCATGTATATATAAACTTTGGTCAATTATAAGCTGATCGTCTCGAAATTTAGAAGGTTCAATTTTAGACCAACTTTCACAAAATTTTATTGCCCATTTGTATAAATTAATAGACTAGACTATAGACTAGACTATAGACTAGACTATAGACTAGACTATAGACTAGACTATAGACTAGACTATAGACTAGACTATAGACTAGACTATAGACTAGACTATAGACTAGACTATAGACTAGACTATAGACTAGACTATAGACTAGACTATAGACTAGACTATAGACTAGACTATAGACTAGACTATAGACTAGACTATAGACTAGACTATAGACTAGACTATAGACTAGACTATAGACTAGACTATAGACTAGACTATAGACTAGACTATAGACTAGACTATAGACTAGACTATAGACTAGACTATAGACTAGACTATAGACTAGACTATAGACTAGACTATAGACTAGACTATAGACTAGACTATAGACTAGACTATAGACTAGACTATAGACTAGACTATAGACTAGACTATAGACTAGACTATAGACTAGACTATAGACTAGACTATAGACTAGACTATAGACTAGACTATAGACTAGACTATAGACTAGACTATAGACTAGACTATAGACTAGACTATAGACTAGACTATAGACTAGACTATAGACTAGACTATAGACTAGACTATAGACAGACTATAGACTAGACTATAGACTAGACTAGACTAGACTATAGACTAGACTATAGACTAGACTATAGACTAGACTATAGACTAGACTAGACTAGACTATAGACTAGACTATAGACTAGACTATAGACTAGACTATAGACTAGACTAGACTAGACTATAGACTAGACTATAGACTAGACTATAGACTAGACTATAGACTAGACTATAGACTAGACTATAGACTAGACTATAGACTAGACTATAGACTAGACTATAGACTAGACTATAGACTAGACTATAGACTAGACTATAGACTAGACTATAGACTAGACTATAGACTAGACTATAGACTAGACTATAGACTAGACTATAGACTAGACTATAGACTAGACTATAGACTAGACTATAGACTAGACTATAGACTAGACTATAGACTAGACTATAGACTAGACTATGACTATAGACTAGACTATAGACTAGACTATAGACTAGACTATAGACTAGACTATAGACTAGACTATAGACTAGACTATAGACTAGACTATAGACTAGACTATAGACTAGACTATAGACTAGACTATAGACTAGACTATAGACTAGACTATACTAGACTACTATAGACTAGACTATAGACTAGACTATAGACTAGACTATAGACTAGACTATAGACTAGACTATAGACTAGACTATAGACTAGACTATAGACTAGACTATAGACTAGACTATAGACTAGACTATAGACTAGACTATAGACTAGACTATAGACTAGACTATAGACTAGACTATAGACTAGACTATAGACTAGACTATAGACTAGACTATAGACTAGACTATAGACTAGACTATAGACTAGACTATAGACTAGACTATAGACTAGACTATAGACTAGACTATAGACTAGACTATAGACTAGACTATAGACTATACTATAAGCTAGACTTTAAGCTAGACTATAAGCTAGACTATAGACTAGACAATATCAGTAAGTTCTAAAGTACTGAATTTTCCATGCCTGATCTGGTAGCCTAACGGACAGTGTTAAGTTCACTCTAGACTACACAAAGACATGGTTAGCTAAATAATTCTTAGTGATGCCAACTACTGGAGATCAAAAGTGGGAAAATGGTACGTACCAATTAACAGCTCCCATAACTTTTCAGGAATTGGTTCCAAGGTCCAAAAATTACTTGGTAGTCAGTAAAATCGACTCATCGGGTTTGGATCATGGTAATGCGTTTGTAAGGGAAAGAGAAAATTTTTTCCTAATCAATCAGTCTGATAAGACCTACAGAAATCATTTAAAATGTAATCGAAATTCAGGAGGTTTGCACATAGAACTTGACAATACAATATTAGTTTTTAATTTAATGTAGGGAAAGTTATAAAATCAATGGCAATTTTTCATTATCAATATTTTTCTATTTTATGTATTTCCAATCATTAATTTTAAATTTATTTATTTTTTATTTACCTAAACACATTTTATATCACTAAACTTGATTTTGCATTCACACAATAATTTGTATGTAACTTCTATGGATAAATCGGAGTATAAAGATGTCCAGATGTAGTAATATTTTTTATAAATTAGGTGGAGTCGCCTTTATCGAACCGGAAAATGCTCATTCTTAATTGATATTAAGACTAATGTAAATTTAGAATAAATAAATTTCGTAAATGTCATCATGTTTATTCTAAATTTACACTATTCAATTTTTGTTATATAAAAAATATCCTAAAATTATTTAGCATTATACTAAAATATTTCATATATATTACAAAACATTTTTGTCAAAACCACGAAACATTTCGTACAATGTACGACATTTATCATATATATTAGTTATGGATTATGTTCAGTGTAGCTGCAGTTATGTAAAAAATCCAAAAGGGACTATTCTCTAGCCTGCTATTTAAACTTTTTTACCGCATAATTTAAAGAATTCTACATCTGGCCACCTGAAACTACTTGCATTTTTTACCAATTTCTGTTGTCATATCTTTTTCTCGACTAACACTTTAATTGTTCAATTGTTAAGCTTTGAAATTTATGATTTTTTTGTTTCGTCACTAACAATGGAACGATATTTTTTCTTTTGCCATTGCCTTTCAATGATTCATTTGCAGATTTGACGAGTCAAGTTCAGACAAAGAAATTTTGGATTTATTGTTGGAGAAAAAGCGTTACGATAAACGATTGTTGCCGCCAGTAAATGGTAAGTTAATATTGTGTATGTCTGCATAGTTATCTATTTTTAAATCTTAAATTTGTATGTGTGTACATGCACACAGCTGTGGGCAAAATAATATGTTCAAATAGTCTTTGCACTAGGACCGGATCATAACGGGAAAACCGTTGAAAGAAATTTTGTTTTCTCTATAGTTTTCTAACAATATCAAAAAAGATACATTTTACAACCTAAATTTAAATTGACTTGACGAAATTAAAAAATCCAGTCTCAGTTAATTTTTTATTAAGTCTATAACCTAACAATTTTTTTAGTGTTATCTGTGATATTTCTCTTATGTGCAGGACCTAGTTTCGCCTGTTACTATATTTTTGTACATAACTGTATATAAACACGAATGTCTGAGTGTATGTATGAAAAAATATTCCTATTGAAATGTGAAGAAGACAATTAATTCAAAAGAATTAATTGAGGGGCAAAGTGTTGCCGTATAGATGACAGACATCATCTTCAACGCTATTGATGTCAGTGTCTATTGTTTGTATTTTAGGAAAAAATTATTGAAAAATTTCATTTACTAAAGTACTTGTCATTTTCATTATGATATTCTCTAAACACTGTTCAAGTTGAAAGTGTCCCTGTCTATTTGTATCCATTCCTATGGTATTTTTATAGTAATGTTAACAAATACAAGCCGTAGACCAATGATATGACGGCATCCATAATGGTTGCATTAAAATAAATTGACCGGATATATTGTTATTTCCGGTTTCATGAGTTTTACATTTAAAATGCATACATATGTATCTAAAATGTTTGTAAAAAATCTACAAGAACCATGTACTCATGTTTCAAATTAAAACAAATAAAATAAATAACAAGAAATAGAAAATATAAATGGTGGTTTTTACTAGTTTAAGTAATTATTATATTAAATTCATTTGCGGATTACAGTACCAACTGGGATATGATTTTCTTTAGAATAAGGTATACGTAATTGAATTGATTCTTTATTGGCCTCAAAAGATGACCAGTTTTATTTGGATCGGAATCCATATATTGCCAAAAAGAAGGGAAAAATTATAGTGAAGAAGGCAAATACTTTGAATACATTTTTATTGCAGAAATAAAAGCTAAACATCTGTAAAACATAGCATTTACATACCCTACCTACCCTATCTACAACGATATAATTGGAAGGGCATTATGCGCTTGTCTTGATATTTGTAACGCATAGAAATATTGGCCCTACACTCACGTTAATCTACTTCGAATAATTAATTATGTTAAATATACTAATATCTCTGCAACGAATTTTTATATAAAGTTAAATAACACTATGTGTAAATGTCATGCAAATATAACCATATACGGACACCACTATGTGATAAAGAGTAAAAAAATTAACCGAATCTTCCAGCTATGCCCAAAGTCAACCACCTTGTTTTTATGGCCCCCAAGATCTGGGGCCTCTGTATCATTTTTGCAAAGAAGTGATAATTTTCTCATGGTCAAAAAATTGTGAACATATAAAACTTCAAAAAAACTTCGTCTTCATTTTTATACCCTCCACCACCATCAGTGGTGATAGAGGGTATATATAACTTTGTCATTCCGTGTGTAACACCAAGAAATATTCATCTGAGACCCAACAAAGTATATATATTCTGGGTCCTTATGAAATTCTGAGTCGATTTAGCTATGTCCGTCTGTCCGTCCGTCCGTCCGTCCGTCCGTCCGTCCGTCTGTCTGTCTGTCTGTGTAAAACACGCTCACGTTAAAACGAAGCAATATAATTTAACCAAATTCACCCAAAGTATTCATTATTATCCGGTACAGTTTGGTATTGAAAATGAGCAATATCGGTTCACGTCGGGAAAAGTTATGAATCAAAATTTAAAACAACCTCGAAAAAAAATAAGCATTTTTTTCACATTCTAATGCAATTTTCTCCAAAACTATGCAAGATAATTCCATGAAAATCACCATACATTCGTTTCTACACAAGATCTTGATCCGTGCAGAAAATTGCCAGAATCGGTCCACAATTTCATATACCTCCCATAGAAAAGTACATACTCCCGGAATATGGGTTTTTCGTTAATAACTTCCATCACAATGTTGATATCTTCACAAAATTTTACAAATTAAAATCTTATGTCAATAGAATTCATTCAGAGAAAAATTTTCTGGATCGGTCTATAATTGGACATAGCTCCCATACAAGGTCCCCTCCCGAAAATCACTTAAACGCGCATAACTCATTACTAAATTAAGATATCCATACAAAATTTGGTATAAGTATTGCCCATATGCATAGAAATATTACTGTGAAAGTGTTTTCCGATCGGTCCATAATTGGTCATAGCTCCCATACAAGGTCCCCTCCCGAAAATCACATAAACGCGCATAACTCATTACTAAATTAAGATATCCATATAAAATTTGGTATAAGTATTGCCCATATGCACAGAAATATTACTGTGAAAGTTTTTTCCGATCGGTCCAAAATTGGTCATAGCTCCCATACAAGGTCCCATCCCGAAAATCACTTAAACGCGCATAAATCATTACTTAATTAAGATATCCATATAAAATTTGGTATGAAAATTGCCCACATGCATAGAAATATAACTGTGAAATTTTTTTTGGATCGGTTCAAAATTGGTCATAGCTCCCATACAAAGTCCCCTCCCGAAAATCACTTAAACGCGCATATCTCATTACTAAATTAAGATATCCATACAAAATTTGGTATAAGTATTGCCCATATGCATAGAAATATTACTGTGAAAATTTTTTCCGATCGGTTCAAAATTGGTCATAGCTCCCATACAAGGTCCCCTCCCGAAAATCACTTAAACGCGCATAACTCATTACTAAATCAAGATATCCATACAAAATTTGGTATAAGTATTGCACATATGAATAGAAATATTACTGTGAAAGTTTTTTCCGATCGGTTCAAAATTGGTCATAGCTCCCATACAAGGTCCCCTCCCGAAAAAAACATAAACGCGCATAATTCATTACTAAATTAAGATATCCATATAAAATTTGGTATAAGTATTGCCAATATGCATAGAAATATTACTGTGAAAGTGTTTTCCGATCCGTCCATAATTGATCATAGCTCCCATACAAGGTCCCCTCCCGAAAATCACATAAACGCACATAACTCATTACTAAATTAAGATATCCATATAAAATTTGGTATAAGTATTGCCCATATGCACAGAAATATTACTGTGAAAGTTTTTTCCGATCGGTCCAAAATTGGTCATAGCTCCCATACAAGGTCCCATCCCGAAAATCACTTAAACGCGCATAAATCATTACTTAATTAAGATATCCATATAAAATTTGGTATGAAAATTGCCCACATGCATAGAAATATAACTGTGAAATTTTTTTTTGGATCGGTTCAAAATTGGTCATAGCTCCCATACAAGGTCCCCTCCCGAAAATCACTTAAACGCGCATAACTCATTACTAAATTAAGATATCCATACAAAATTTGGTATAAGTATTGCCCATATGCATAGAAATATTACTGTGAAAGTGTTTTCCGATCCGTCCTTAATTGGTCATAGCTCCCATACAAGGTCCCCTTCCGAATATCACATAAACGCACATAACTCATTACTAAATTAAGATATCCATATAAAATTTGGTATAAGTATTGCACATATGAATAGAAATATTACTGTGAAAGTTTTTTCCGATCGGTCCATAATTGGTCATAGCTCCCATACAAGGTCCCCTCCCGAAAATCACTTAAACGCGCATAAATCATTACTTAATTAAGATATCCATATAAAATTTGGTACAAGTATTGCACATATGCGCGGAAATATTACTGTGAAAGTGTTTTCCGATCCGTCCTTAATTGGTCATAGCTCCCATACAAGGTCCCCTTCCGAATATCACATAAACGCACATAACTCATTACTAAATTAAGATATCCATACAAAATTTGGTATAAGTATTGCCCATATGCATAGAAATATTACTGTGAAAGTGTTTTCCGATCCGTCCTTAATTGGTCATAGCTCCCATACAAGGTCCCCTCCCGAAAATCACTTAAACGCGCATAAATCATTACTTAATTAAGATATCCATATAAAATTTGGTACAAGTATTGCACATATGCGCGGAAATATTACTGTGAAATTGTTTTCCGATCGGTCCATAATTGGTCATAGCTCCCATACAAGGTCCCCTCCCGAAAATCACTTAAACGCTCATAACTCATTACTAACTATAAAGTTTGGCAGAAGTATTGCTCATATACAGAGAAATATTACTGTGAAATTGTTTTCCTATCGGTCCATAGTTGATCATAGCTGCTATACAAGGTGCCTTTCAGAAAACACTTAAAGGCACATAACTCATTAGGAAATAGTGATACCCATAAAAGATTTGGCATTGATACTTTTTTTGTACACATAAATGTTATTTCAAAATTTTTTCACGATTAGTCCAACCTTGGTCAAAGCTCCCATATAAGGTTCCCTCCCGAAAATCACTTAAACGCACATAATTCATTACCAAATAATGATATAGATACAGAATTTTGAAATTTTGTTTTTATATATAATTCGTCATAGCTCTCATACAAGGTCCTTTTACGAAAATCTCTTAAACGCACATTACTCATTACCAAATAAAGCTATTGATACAAAATTTGCCACAAATATAAGTTTTGTATACAAAAATTCTATTTCAAGATTTCTCACGATCGGCTCATAACATGGGTGCGGTCGGTCCCATACAAGGTTCCCTTCCGAAAATCACTTAAACACACATTACTTATTACTAAATTACGATATAGATATAAAATTTGACTGAAATATAGCTTTTATGTACAGAAATTTAGCTTAAAGAATTTTTTACGATCGGACTATAATTGGTCATATCTAGGTCCTGCCCCTGAAAGCACTTTAACCGTATTTAACTAGTTGCATTATCAATTTGTGTAGATTATATATATGTATTTTGAAAATCCTTTAATTTTCACACACATGCATACATGCAAATTACTAAATATCGCTAAGCGCTATAAAAATATAAATGTTTGTAATGTTCAATAAATCTTGGAATTGTAATAGATTTAAGCTGTTTAAATCTTGGGATTTTTCAAATTAAGACATGAGATAACTTATTTCTATAAATATTTGACCAATTAGAAAAGTCTTAATATAAAAGTAGCTGGTGGAGGGTATTTAAGATTCGGCTCAGCCGAATTTAGCACTCTAACTTGTTTAATTTCAAGTGGAAAGTTTTACATTGTGAAATTACACTGTTTTTACAAATTGACACCTGTACGTATAAGTGTTAATGGTTTATTGATATTACAAATATTAAGTATAGGCCTTATTTATTGAAGTACTTGAAATTTTTTTTTTAACACCTAAAAAATCGAATTTAAAATTTTTATTTTTTTTTTGCGCAAAAATAACACCGAGGCGCCAAAATCTTGGGCGGCCCATAAAGAGATACATTACTTTGGGCAAAACTGCGAGACGGGTCTTTTTTTGATCTTTTATCACACAGTAGTGTCTGTATGTGGTTTGTTTTATCTTGTTGCACTGTGTAATACGTTACATTTTCGTAAAGATCAGACATTCTTTTTAACATAAAAACAAATCTCTCCACAAAATTTAATAAGTATTTGAACCCAGTCTAGTCTATAGTCTAGTCTATAATCTAGTCTATAGTCTAGTCTATAGTCTAGTCTATAGTCTAGTCTATAGTCTAGTCTATAGTCTAGTCTATAGTCTAGTCTATAGTCTAGTCTATAGTCTAGTCTATAGTCTAGTCTATAGTCTAGTCTATAGTCTAGTCTATAGTCTAGTCTATAGTCTAGTCTATAGTCTAGTCTATAGTCTAGTCTATAGTCTAGTCTATAGTCTAGTCTAGTCTAGTCTATAGTCTAGTCTATAGTCTAGTCTATAGTCTAGTCTATAGTCTAGTCTATAGTCTAGTCTATAGTCTAGTCTATAGTCTAGTCTATAGTCTAGTCTATAGTCTAGTCTATAGTCTAGTCTATAGTCTAGTCTATAGTCTAGTCTATAGTCTAGTCTATAGTCTAGTCTATAGTCTAGTCTATAGTCTAGTCTATAGTCTAGTCTATAGTCTAGTCTATAGTCTAGTCTATAGTCTAGTCTATAGTCTAGTCTATAGTCTAGTCTATAGTCTAGTCTATAGTCTAGTCTATAGTCTAGTCTATAGTCTAGTCTAAGTCTAGTCTATAGTCTAGTCTATAGTCTAGTCTATAGTCTAGTCTATAGTCTAGTCTATAGTCTAGTCTATAGTCTAGTCTATAGTCTAGTCTATAGTCTAGTCTATAGTCTAGTCTATAGTCTAGTCTATAGTCTAGTCTATAGTCTAGTCTATAGTCTAGTCTATAGTCTAGTCTATAGTCTAGTCTATAGTCTAGTCTATAGTCTAGTCTATAGTCTAGTCTATAGTCTAGTCTATAGTCTAGTCTATAGTCTATAGTCTAGTCTATAGTCTAGTCTATAGTCTAGTCTATAGTCTATAGTCTAGTCTATAGTCTAGTCTATAGTCTAGTCTATAGTCTAGTCTATAGTCTAGTCTATAGTCTAGTCTATAGTCTAGTCTATAGTCTAGTCTATAGTCTAGTCTATAGTCTAGTCTATAGTCTAGTCTATAGTCTAGTCTAGTCTAGTCTATAGTCTAGTCTATAGACTAGTCTATAGTCTAGTCTATAGTCTAGTCTATAGTCTAGTCTATAGTCTAGTCTATAGTCTAGTCTATAGTCTAGTCTATAGTCTAGTCTATAGTCTAGTCTATAGTCTAGTCTATAGTCTAGTCTATAGTCTAGTCTATAGTCTAGTCTATAGTCTAGTCTATAGTCTAGTCTATAGTCTAGTCTATAGTCTAGTCTATAGTCTAGTCTATAGTCTAGTCTATAGTCTAGTCTTGACTATAGTCTAGTCTTGACTATAGTCTAGTCTTGACTATAGTCTAGTCTTGACTATAGTCTAGTCTTGACTATAGTCTAGTGACTATAGTCTAGTCTTGACTATAGTCTAGTCTTGACTATAGTCTAGTCTTGACTAGTCTAGTCTTGACTATAGTCTAGTCTTGACTATAGTCTAGTCTTGACTATAGTCTAGTCTTGACTATAGTCTAGTCTTGACTATAGTCTAGTCTTGACTATAGTCTAGTCTTGACTATAGTCTAGTCTTGACTATAGTCTAGTCTTGACTATAGTCTAGTCTTGACTATAGTCTAGTCTTGACTATAGTCTAGTCTTGACTATAGTCTAGTCTTGACTATAGTCTAGTCTTGACTATAGTTTAGTCTTGACTATAGTTCTAGTCTTGACTATAGTCTAGTCCTTGACTATAGTCTAGTCTTGACTATAGTCTAGTCTTGACTATAGTCTAGTCTTGACTATAGTCTAGTCTTGACTATAGTCTAGTCCTTACTATAGTCTAGTCTATAGTCTAGTCTATAGTCTAGTCTATAGTCTAGTCTATAGTCTAGTCTATAGTCTAGTCTATAGTCTAGTCTATAGTCTAGTCTATAGTCTAGTCTATAGTCTAGTCTATAGTCTAGTCTATAGTCTAGTCTATAGTCTAGTCTATAGTCCAGTCTAGTCTAGTCTAGTCTATAAGTCTAGTCTATAGTCTAGTCTATAGTCTAGTCTATAGTCTAGTCTATAGTCTAGTCTATAGTTCTAGTCTAGTCTAGTATAGTCTAGTCTATAGTCTAGTCTATAGTCTAGTCTATAGTCTAGTCTATAGTCTAGTCTATAGTCTAGTCTATAGTCTAGTCTATAGTCTAGTCTAGTCTATAGTCTAGTCTATAGTCTAGTCTATAGTCTAGTCTATAGTCTAGTCTATAGTCTAGTCTATAGTCTAGTCTATAGTCTAGTCTATAGTCTAGTCTATAGTCTAGTCTATAGGTCTAGTCTATAGTCTAGTCTATAGTCTAGTCTATAGTCTAGTCTATAGTCTAGTCTATAGTCTAGTCTATAGTCTAGTCTATAGTCTAGTCTATAGTCTAGTCTATAGTCTAGTCTATAGTCTAGTCTATAGTCTAGTCTATAGTCTAGTCTATAGTCTAGTCTATAGTCTAGTCTATAGTCTAGTCTATAGTCTAGTCTAGTAGTCTATAGTCTAGTCTATAGTCTAGTCTATAGTCTAGTCTATAGTCTAGTCTATAGTCTAGTCTAGTAGTCTATAGTCTAGTCTATAGTCTAGTCTATAGTCTAGTCTATAGTCTAGTCTATAGTCTAGTCTATAGTCTAGTCTATAGTCTAGTCTATAGTCTAGTCTATAGTCTAGTCTATAGTCTAGTCTATAGTCTAGTCTATAGTCTAGTCTATAGTCTAGTCTTCTATAGTCTAGTCTAGTCTATAGTCTAGTCTATAGTCTAGTCTATAGTCTAGTCTAGTCTAGTCTATAGTCTAGTCTATAGTCTAGTCTATAGTCTAGTCTAGTCTAGTCTATAGTCTAGTCTATAGTCTAGTCTATAGTCTAGTCTATAGTCTAGTCTATAGTCTAGTCTATAGTCTAGTCTATAGTCTAGTCTATAGTCTAGTCTATAGTCTAGTCTATAGTCTAGTCATAGTCTAGTCTATAGTCTAGTCTATAGTCTAGTCTATAGTCTAGTCTATAGTCTAGTCTATAGTCTAGTCTATAGTCTAGTCTATAGTCTAGTCTATAGTCTAGTCTATAGTCTAGTCTATAGTCTAGTCCATAGTCTAGTCTATAGTCTAGTCTATAGTCTAGTCTATAGTCCAGTCTATAGTCTATAGTCTAGTCTATAGTCTACTCTATAGTGTAGTCTACAGTTTATTCTATAGTCTAGTCTATAGTCAAGTCTATAGTCAATTCTATAGTCCGGTCTATAGTATACTCTGTAGTCTACCCTATAGGCTAGTCTATAGTCTAGTGTATAGTCTAGTCTATAGTTAGTCTATTGTATATTCTGTAGTCTAGACTATAGTCTACTCTATAGTCTACCCTACAGTCTAGTCTATAGTTGGAATTTAAATTTTGCAATTTTCATGGTTTTTCCTAATATTTGCAGATCGATATGTAATACATTGAATAGTTTTTTATCTTAAATAAGAAAAAGTAAAATCGATTTTAAATAAGTTAAATTTTACAGATGAAGACTTTTGCTGTGGATTGTCATCACCAGATATGGCTACAGAACTAAATTCAAGGAGACCACATAGACGCGGTTTGTTTATTTTATGATTGACTTAAAATCTTAATTAATCTATATTAGAGACTTACAAATATGTCAATTTAATAGTTTTGTCATTTGAATTTGATTTTATGACACCTTTTTAACACATTAAACAAATATTAAAATTTTAATTATATTTTAAAGTAATTTAAAGTTCCGCTAAACACAAATGATAATTGCGGCAATAAATCTTTTAATTAATTTTTTTCTTTGTAATATTATGTTTAACATTATTTTGTTTAATTGCGTTTCTTTTTGATTTAAGTTTTGTGGCAATCCACGGCAATCAATTTTATTACTTGTGTTTTTTTTTTTCATAAATAATCATTAATCTTTTATCTTTAATTTATGTACCACTTTCGTATGTATTTGTTAGATGATTAAATTATTTTTGTACTTTGACCAAACATTCGTTTTAGTACATTGTGTTCACATGTGTATTTTTGTTCTTTTAACGTTAGTTTCTTTAGAAAGAAATTCTTTGAAATTATTATTAAAATTATATTAATTGATTAATTGTTATTTATATATTTTTTCTATTTGTTATAATATGAATTATTAACCTCAATGCCAACAACTACAACAAACAGGTACTCTTACGGTAAATGTGAACGTTTTACTACTTAGTTTAGCATCGCCTGATGAGAGTAGTCTGGTAACTATATAATTTTAATATTAATATTTTGAATTTATAATTTCATTTGTTTTTTTTTTTCTATTGTATCGTATTTTGCATATTAATAAAATAAATTTGAATTCGTTTAGAAATATGAAGTGGAATTTCTGTTGAATCAACAGTGGAATGATCCTCGTTTACAATATGGCAACAAGTCACATTATGATTTTCTAAATGCATTGCATCATCACGATAGCATTTGGACGCCGGACACTTATTTCATTATGCACGGCGACTTTAAGGATCCCATTATACCCATGCATTTTGCTTTAAGAATTTACCGGAACGGGACCATTACGTACGCAATGAGGTGTGTATAAAATAAACTTTTCTTGTTATTTTATCTTAAGTATATATGAATGTATTATATTCATATTTTCTCTTGTTTAAAATTATGAATATGTATTTATTTATTATACACGTATATACTTACATATGTACATACATACATACATATGTACATCTGCTACTGCCAACATTGTTACTAAGTACTACGTACAATTGCTAGAAAATATTAGGTAGGTAGGTTGATAGGAGGATTGTATACTACATCAAATCCAAAGAAATACACCTAGGCCAGTATCGGGCCTGTTGTGCGCTCCTTATCATAAAAAAAAGGGAACTGAATGAATTATTTTACAGTGTTCATAAACTCAGTTTCCTGAACGTAATTCCTAAGAATCTTCCAATCAGTGTTAGTCAGGAATGTTATTTCCGCAATAACATCACTTCCAAAATACTTGGATCTAACTTCGACGAATGCCTGGCAGTGGCAAAGAAAGGGCTCCAGAGTTTCACTGTCCTCTCCACATGCTCTACATTCGTCTGAATCCGCACGTCCAATTTTGCATAGATGTGCTCATACTAACTTCAGACTTGCTCATTTTGAGGAGATTTTTCATCTTGCTCTCATCAGAGTCACCCCATAGGATCTTCGTGGTTCTTCCCACTGTTTCATTATTCTAAGAGGCCTTATGGGATTCTCTCACCCATATTTTTAGTTCAGCTACATGTCCTATAACCGATTTTGAACAGTTCGCCTAAAGTAAAGAGCCGTTCGACTGTACGGTTCCTATATAAAATACTTTGGAAAAAACACCTCCAAACTTTAAAAACGGTGCAAAACTAAAATTAAAAATATGTTTGCCAATGAAATGCACACATATTTTTCTAGGCGTCATGAAATAACTCCCCAAAACAAAAATGAAATAACTCCCTAAATTTGGGGACTTATTTCATTATGAAATAATTCCCCAATTTAAGAATGAAAAAAAGCCCCAACGAAATGAAATAACTTCCTAAATTAAAATGAAATAACACCCCATTTTTGGGGATTTATTTCATATGAAACAAATCCATAATTTTAAAATGAAATAAGTTACCATTTAAAAATAACAAAGTGACATTTCTAAAAATAGTAGGTCGCTCATACTTTCGAGTGGGGCTTCAAAGTTTAATACATTTCAGTTTAATCGCTTAATAAAGATTCCCTTAATAGCCGGCCTGCGGCCGTGCGCAAGAACTTTCTACTCCAACAACGGCTTCGCTTAATAAATATTTCCTAAATAGCCGGCCTACGGCCGGATGCAAGGATTTACCACTCTATAATATGACCAACACCGGCTTCGCTTAATAAAGATTTCCTAAATAGCCATCCTAAGGCCGAACACTTTTGATACAAGAAGAGTGTATTCTTAGCGAAGCCGGTGTTCAATGTACCCCAGAGGATAAAACCTTTGCGCCCGGCCGAAGGCCGGCTATCAGCCATATATTTTTTATTTCGGGTGTTAAAATTAATATAATGAAATAAATCCCCAAAAATATTTTTAGAGATTTATTTCATTTTTGAGTTTTGAGGAATTATTTCATAATGAAATAACTCCCGATTTTAAATGTGAAATAATGCCCCAAAAAACGAATCAAATCCCCAAATTTCGTTGTTTTTGCTTTCTGAACAAATTTTTAGGGAATTATTTCATTTTTGTTTTGGGGAGTTATTTTGTGGGGAGTTATTTCATGACGCCATTTTTCTAGGTTACTTAAACATCATATATGTCATTACAAAGGCCTCAGCCTCTGTTGTTCATAAACTTAAAATCGGTTGAGATTCAACTAAGTTACTGACTTTTAAGTGCTTAAAGATATGAAAAACCGGTTATTTACCCGTATCTCAAGAATTTGGAGGTGATTGGGAAATTTCAAAAACAGTTTTATGTTCTACTCGGATCAACCTTTCAGAAAAATAGTATCACTTCCCAGGTATTTCGATTTTCGATTATTTTGTCTCACTGTATAATCTTATCAGTGAAAATCTGCCATCAATTTTATATTATTGAAATTTAAAGTCTGACATTATAATTATAAATATGAAGAAATACGAATTAAGTAATCTAACTTCAACATGACATCATCAAGCTTTTCGATCTTTGACCGCGTCATTTTCAGAAACTTATATAAAATAATGCTTTTATTTCAATATTACAAATAATTTAGTTTGAAAATTTTTAGCCGATTTTTATAAAGTACATTAACTTATAAGTAGTACTTATAAAATTATCTACTCTGATGTGATTAGTACCAATTGAAGAACAACAAGTTAGTGTGCTATATTCGGCTATGCCGAATCTTAAATACCCTCCACTAGCAAGCTACTTCTTATTAAAATGGGTTTTAATAAAAATCTATATCTAATTTTTAAATAACTTGGCAAAATTTATGTTTCCGTATTGAGTGTACTAACATTTATGCATATGTCAAACTAATTTTAATTAGGTCGAGAAAAATGTATATTAATAGGCCAGTTTGAAAACATTTTGATATAATGATTTATGCCAAAAAAATTCAAGTCGAATTTTACTACAATAGATTTATTAATTAATGAAATATGTGCGCTTAGGTGATTTTCGGAAGTGGACTTTATATGTATGGAGCTATGACCTTACACAAAACATATTTGTGTCGAATTTTATCAATATATCTTTATTGGATAATGAAATATGTGCGTTTAAGTGATTTTTTTGAAATTGACTTTATATAGGAGCTATTACCATATATGGACCAATCTGGAAAAAATGTGGTAGAATAATTTTTATGCTCATAAAACATATTCAAGTCGTACTTTATCCCGATAACTTTATTATTCAAAGAAAAATATGCGTTTAACTGATTTTCGTAAGTGGACCATCAACACAAAACATATTTGTGTCCAATTTTATCAAGATAGCTTTATTTGACAATGAAATATGTACTTTTAAGTGATTTTCGGAAGTGGACTTTATATGGGAGCTATGACCAATTATGGGTCTATCCGGAAAAAATTTAGTAGAGTGATTCATGTTTAGACTAAACATATTTTTGTCGAATTTTATTAAGATAGCTTTATTTGACAATGAAATATGAGCTTTTAAATGATTCTCGGAAGTGGGCCTTATATGGGAGCTATGACCAATAATGGACCGATCCGTAAAAAAATTGGTAGATTAATTTGTATGTACACAAAACATTTATTTAACTCGAATTTTATCACAATACCTTTGTATGGGGTCTATGGGAAATATTCGATCGATTGTAAAGATTTTGAACATAATTGATCACCGCCCTGAAAAAATAACGTGTGACAAAATTCATCGAAGTATCTTTGGTAGTTTCTGAGAAAACTTCAAAAGAATTATGAAAAAACCGTAATTTTGTTCGAGGTAGTCTGAAATTTTTACTCATAACTTTTTACGTTGTGAACCGATTTTGCTGATTTTCAATACCAAACTGCTTAGGATAATAATAAATATTTTGGGTGAATTTGGTTGATTTCCTTTGCTTAGTTTTAACGTGAGCGTGTTTTGCACAGACAGATAGACAGACGGACATAGCTAAATCGACTCAGTATATGGACCCAGAATATATATACTTTGTTGGGTCTTAGATGAATATTTCTTGGTGTTACACACGGAACGACAAACTTATATATACCCTCTATCACCACTGATGGTGGTGCAGGGTATAAAAATGTTGTTTCGATATTGTGAAACAGGCAGTAAGAAAGGATTTCTGAAAATTCGAATGTTTAGGGAATAAAACGGGTAAATCCGGTAACCTAATATTTCCTTAAGTAGAAAAGATACAAAAACAGTTTAAATCTTATCGCCGTCCTTTTAAAAAATAAGCGGACAGATGTCTGGTACTTTTTTAATTCGGTCCTTTTAGAAAATAAACGGATAAAAACAGTATTTAGGTACTTTTTTGATACTCCATCATTCTTTTAAAACAGTGAAAATACAAACTCAATTATTTTAATAAAATTTCAGAACTTTGTAAATTTAGTAACACTATAAAAAGGAACTTTTTCTTTCTTCAAAAAGTACTTTTTGAATTTTTGTGTTTCTAGGTTCAATAGATAACTCAAAAACTACATTTTAAAGATCGAAAAAGTATCAAAATGTACTCTTTACAGATTATCTTTAACTCCGGACTCTATTAGCTTAATATCATGTTTCTAGGATCAATATTATAAAAACTCAAAAATTATAATATCAATATTAAATTTATAAATAAAAATTTCGAAAGAAACGAAATGCTAACCCGTTTACCTTCCTATATCCTAGGACAAAAACTCTTTTCGCTCTTATTACAAAATTCAAACGCGTATGTGTTTTGTTATTGTTATTTTCAATATCAAAGATAGAAAATTGTTATGTGGGAAATAAATATAAAATTAAAAAATAATATTTTTAAAACGGAATATTTTTTTTGGTTAATTTTTCGCTTTTTAGCTGGTACTTTTTTGAGTTTTTTATAATATTGATCCTAGAAACATGATATTAAGCTAATAGAGTCCGGAGTTAAAGATAATCTGTAAAGAGTACATTTTGATACTTTTTCGATCTTTAAAATGTAGTTTTTGAGTTATCTATTGAACCTAGAAACACAAAAATTCAAAAAGTACTTTTTGAAGAAAGAAAAAGTTCCTTTTTATAGTGTTACTAAATTTACAAAGTTCTGAAATTTTATTAAAATAATTGAGTTTGTATTTTCACTGTTTTAAAAGAATGATGGAGTATCAAAAAAAGTACCTAAATACTGTTTTATCCGTTTATTTTCTAAAAGGACCGAATTAAAAAAGTACCAGACATCTGTCCGCTTATTTTTTAAAAGGACGGCGATAAGATTTAAACTGTTTTTGTATCTTTTCTACTTAAGGAAATATTAGGTTACCGGATTTACCCGTTTTATTCCCTAAACATTCGAATTTTCAGAAATCCTTTCTTACTGCCTGTTTCACAATATCGAAACAACATTTTTATACCCTGCACCACC